CAGTTAGCAACGGACCCTTGTCCACCGAATGAAGACGACCCCGATCCATGGCGTTGTATGGAAACTATACCGTTAGCAACGGACACTTCTCCACCTAACGAAGATAACCACGATCCATGCAGTGGTATGGAATCCATACAGTTAGCAACGGACACTTCTCCACCTAACGAAGAGGACCCCGATGCATGGAGTTGTATGGAAAACATACAGTTAGAAACGGACACTTCTCCACCTAACGAAGATGACCCCGATCCATGGAGTTGTATGGAAACCATACAGTTAGCAACGGACCCTTCTCCGCCTAATGCCTGCGATCCATGGAATTGTATGGAAACCATACCGTTAGAAACGCACCCGTGTCCACCTAACACAGACCACCCCGATCGTTGGAGTAGTATGGAAACCATACAGTTAGCAACGGACCCGTCTCCACCTAACAACGACGACCCCGATCCTTGGAGTTGTATGGAATCTATACAGTCAGATGCAGAACACAGTCGTGCCCCTAGTGTTCCGGGGGATGCGACGTCCGCCTGCACCCAATGGATTCACTGGATTGACCGCCACAAGCACCTATTGCGGGAGTGCATGACGCAGCCGTGGTTTAATGCCCTCAAAACGGAATGGAAACAATACCTGCTTGCACACATGGCGGCCAACGAAGACAACGGAGTATACGGGCACAGTGTACTCGGTGAAGCGGCCACGCTGCCGATGAAGAAACTGGACTTGTGGAAACAATGGGTTTCCCAACAACATCGGCAAATGAGTATGTATAACGCGGAGGAGTGGTGCCAACATTTGTTGCATAATGTAGAGGAGGCGACAGAATCGCACACCGGCCACGCACCTATAGTGGAAAACGACTTAGACGTGGAAAATGTCATGGGAGCAGAAGATGTTCTAAGCGTGCGAGATGTACCACGCACGCAACTGCATAAGCAACCGGACATGCAAAAAACGTTAACCGCTAAAATATGGATACTGATCCTGGCATTAGTCATAGAAGAGTGCGAGGTCGAATGTCGTTTGCAGGATAGGGAGTTATATGTGGATGAACTCCTGGACAAGCTCTGAAATTAGGATGCAGTCAGGCGTATGCAGGCGACGGAGTTATATGTGGATGCTTTATTACAGAATATGCGACATTCGGATGACGGGACATGTGCATGCGACATAACGCATGCTAACGGTAGACCACTTTTACTTCATTATGTGATATACATAATATATGTCTTGTTTGTACTATTCCATACGTTTTTTTTTTTCTGCTCTGTTCTGCTCTGTTCTGCTTACTTGTGCTTACTTTTGCCTTGTTTTGTTCTTTTTCTGTGTAGTCAACTTCTTTTAACATGACCACAGGAACAGGGTGGTACAGGTCAAATGCATATAAAATGTAGATTTAAATGAATAATATGAAGGGCTACAATTCTCCTTTATGTGAAGTTAATTATTAACAGATGCGCACGTGCATTCTACGCGCATAGTGCAGCACAAATATAGCATGCGCATACGCATTCGAGTCTAAGGAGACATTGTCTCTCCGAGGAAACGCGGCCGCGTGCACACGACTGTCCGAGTGACCCCGTTCGACGACGTAGGCGAGTGTACGAAGGAGGAGAGATTGTCTCTCCGAGCCAACGGGTTTCGACGACGTAACCGAGTGTAAGAAGCAGCAGATTGTCTCTCCGCGCAAACGCGTCGAGCAACGCGGCCGGGTAAACCGATTGTCCGCGGACGCAGCCGCGTGCACGAAGGAGGAGAGATTGGCTCTCCGAGCACACGCGTCGACCAACGAGGCCGATTGTAACACCGATTCGACGACGGATTGTCCGCGTGTAAGAAAGGAGGGAGAGATTGTCTCTCGGAGCAAACGTGGCGGGGTAAACGCGTCGAGCACACGCGGCCAAGTGCAACACCGATTGGACGAAGTAGCCGCGTGAAGCGGTTCGATTACGGCGTTCGAGTAGACGCTTCGACGAAGTAGCCCGGGGAAGCACGGCGGCAACAACGACGGAAGAAGAATTTGATGTTGTTGTTCTTACTGCGGTTTTTAGGTGTACACGGGGTTTAAGTGTACGCACACAGAGAGACACCGTGTGTGAAGGCCTTTAGTGGAGACCGGTGTAGACAGCCGGCCGCGGGCGTTATTCATGACGGTGTGTTGTATTTTTCGTATTTTTTCCTGGTCTAGTTTTTTTTTTCTTTTCATCTTTTCGTTCTTCTTCCTTTTTTGTTGTTTTTTTTTTCTTCTTTTTTTCTGATTTTATCGTTCCATTTTACTTTTTTCTTTGTGTGCCTTCTCTTCTTTTGTGGTGCATGAAGTACAGCAGGAGCTTCGGAAGTATTAGAAGTAAAGAAGTCTAGGGAATGTTTGAGGACATGTATTTATTGTCATCATTCTAGATTTAAATGCGACGGACGACATGCATGTGTGCGGCGCGCTACAGTAATGTTTGGGACAGAGTCATATTAAGTTATTATAGTATTACTCTCAAAATAGAATAGTATTATACAAAGTGAGTAGAATATGAACACGGATGAAATACTGACAGAATGGAAGGACTATAAACGAAAAGGCCATCAATATGACGTGTGGGGTAATTACAAGGTAAGCTATTGGGCACTAGAGGGAAGACGGAGACGAGATTTGTGCACAACAGCAGTGAGCGCTGCAGTATGCCGCATATACTTGAATCGAACTTATGCATCACAATTGTACATTTTTAGTTTGAGTATAGTGCGAACGCAGCATTCATACAGTAACAGGGGACACTACGTACGGGTAGGTATAGGGACCCAGGACGGAAACAACGCTGCGCACGAAATTTACATAACACTGTATGTGAATTATTTGAACTGCAGAAATGGCTGTGGAATGAGATAGACCCGATATTACACAAGTTTATTGAATATGTCAAGGACAAGGAAAACTGGGAAAACTACGGAGGCAACTGCGATAACAGTTTTTATTACCATAGTGGAACACGTTATTTGCACCACGTTAGGTGGCCCGGTACCAAGGTTATGTGCAAGATTATGTCAACAGCATTATTCTTCCTAACCGCCCCCGATGGGTTACCAACATTTACGCACGGAGCACATGACACAGAACAAAAGTTAAGACAACTTATAGGGTGCACAATTGTAAATATATTCATGTATATACTGGAGAAAACAGTATGTGAGGGACACTGGGGGCTACAGTATGCATGGCACGTTATGAGGGAAGAGATGCAAGGAATACCGGGAAACATTGTGGCCGAGGGAAAATGTCTCGAAGGGTTCATAGACAACGTTAACCTTGGGAGTTGGAGTATGAAGGAAAAAATTAAGGAGTGGATACAGCACAACACGGACTTACGTACTTGGGTGCAGGATACAGAAATTAAAAAAATGTGCAAAACTGCCCAGGAAGAAAGTAAACAGGCGGGGAGAAAAGGGACGGAAAAGGGTACATGGCAGGCGGGGGGGGAAAATACAGATAATTATGGAGAAACGGCAGTCCGGGAGAAAATGGACAGAGGACTCAAAGACGTCATAGGACGCGCAATGAACGAGATAATGCAAAAGGTGGGTGACCACTTGCAGGGCGCAGGCCAGCCAGCTAGGACTGGGGCACCGGGTACAGCAGCAGAGAAGCCAGGATCGGGCACACACGCAGCTGCGGGACCCAATGCGCCAACCACGAAACCCGGAGGAGCACAACACGACAGCAACAACGACACAAGACGTGCAGAGCACAACACGCATGGTAAGAATACGTTTCGTAAGAACACGAATAAACGGCCGAATACGCATGCCAACGGATGACACGCCCCAATACGTACCGTACGAATATGGATGGATGCCACGGCTGGCACGACCGATACGGCCGAATACGAGTACAGCCTCCACAACACGCATGCACGCGGGCAGCAACAACGCACCGCGACAACATGCACACGCGACGGAACAACAGCGCACGTGAACTACGCACGGGCGCGCAACAGCACAGCAGCCACGACGGCATTGGTAGCGGCAGCAGTAGCGGCGACGACGGCACCGTACAGCGGAGCGGTAGTGTAGACGAGGTCTGCGTGTGCTGCGATGACCAGTATAGCGGCCGCACAGTGGTGTGACACTGGTGCGTGGGGATGGAACGGCCACGACGGCAGCGGTAGCGGCGACGGGCGGTGCAGACGGACGGAACGGGACAGCGGACGCGATGACGACGACAAATAAAAGTTGTACTGCTACCATCTAGCCCAGTTCACCGAGTACGCAGTCCACCTCACCGTACGCTTGCTGCCGCACCACCCAGTTCACCGAGTTCAACTAGTCCAGTCCACCTGGATCCACTGCATCGACCCACTGCATGCAGGCGACCTACCCTGGCGCTACCTGACCGCACCGTCCCGGCCCCTTCTTTCTGTACCACTTGTGTCCGTTTTTTTAATCATCTACCCGTTTTCCGTCCTTACGGCAGGTTCAACGGCCGCTAAGCCTGTGGCACCACCGGCTGCACCCGCATCAGCCGCACCGGCCGCAGCAGGATCAGGAGCAGTCGGACAAGGACCAGGTCCGGGACCAGGACCTGGACAACAACCCCCACCTCCACCACCACCGCCTCCGGAGAAGACTTCTGGGGGCACCCAAGGCGGGAAGGATGCAGACCAAGCAGGTAAGTGTACAGAGAGTTCCACCAGTACGAATAAAAAAGGAACGGGTGTTGACGTAAGCTTTGGGTGTACCTCAGACAAGGAGTTAGGAGCTCCAGACATTGTACCTCCAAATCCCCCTGATCCAGAGCCAGGTAAAAATTCCTATGCATCATAGTGCACATAAACACCCGAAGTAACATTAGACGGAAAAAAAAAAAAAACAAAAACAACAAAAAACAATTTCCGCAGACAGCGGGAGAGACACCACGGCGAGACAACACGGAGAGAGAGAAACCAAACGTCGAATGAGAATGATGCGGGACGCAGAGCGACAGCGATAGGTGGGCCGCTGGATGTGGACGTCGACAGACGGACAGGTCGCCACACACACGCACTGTGTGTTGTGTTGTGTGTCGGAGAGAGAGAGTGTCTTTTCCATGGGTGGCACCTTGCCCCTTCCCCCGTCAGCGGTCAAACGTGAACGATGCGCTACCGCTGCCGTCGTCGCCGCGTGTGCTTTGTTGTGCCCCCCGCGTGTGCGTGTTGTAGCCGTGGTGGGTGTTGTTGTGCCATCCATGCGTGCGCAGTCGTACGGTACGTAGAGAGCGTGCCGTATTAGTGCTTTCTCCCATTGGTCCTTACCTGCCGGTGCCGGTGATGCTGCAGCCTCTGTTGTTGCAGGTGCGTTCGATGCTGCGGCGGGAGAGTCAGGATTTGGGGATGTAGCATGTGCCCTCACCAGTTGCATGAGCTGCGGCGGCACCTCCCGAACCAATACCGTGGTCTCTGGCCGTAAGTCCTCTATAACGTGCTTCTCCGTTGTCTTCAGTTCTATTTGTTCATCCATGGTATTTGTACCCTTTGTTCCGCTTACGAGGTCCTGTAATCTTTGCGTGCATTTGCTTTTTATTGCGGGCGCTTCAATTTTGCCTTTTACTGTTGCGTTGTTCTGTAACCAGTTCTTAATCATTTGCTCCATGTCGAATTCCTTGGTTTGTATGTCTGTAAACACTCCCCTCTGGCACGTGCCCTTTGTAATTAATCCAGGCATATCCGCCTCCATCTTGGTCACAGTTTCCCATGCATAATATACACCCATTTGACTTCTGCATGGAGATTCCAGCAATATGTACATAAATATATTTACTATGGCACACCGCACATATTCCTTCAGTTCATCATCATTACTAACCACCATATGCCCACGCCGCTTAGTCCAACTGTTCGCATTCATGAAAAATAATGCTCCTGTCATGAGTTTGCACATAAGTTCGTCTCCCTCGTTATGTTTGAAGAAGTCTTTTCCCCCACCCTCACGCGTATAACCCGTGTTTTTACAATTAGCTGCATAGCTGTCTATGTCGTCATGTTCCATATGTTCCACAAATTGTTTCAGTTGCGCTGTTACATCTTGCCCTAGGCTTTCCTGCATTGTGCATAAGGTACATATATGTGTGTGCATAAGGGGCCAGTGCAGCGCTGTGTGCCATATTCATATGTGCCCATTCCTTGGTGCGTACTGCGCGTGCGGTATGTGCGCATTGTATTATTTATATGGAATTAGTGCACGGGCGCATGCGTACAATATATACACAGGCATGTATACATACTATCATATATAGAGGCGGTTATAATTACACGACGCCCCGCGGTGTTTGTCTTAATAAATTACCTTATACTGCTGCGGTCTGCCCAGTAGACCTCGTTGTATGAGGTAGTGTGCTAATAAATGTCCCAACGTCGCATACGTCATATTGTCACAACCATAAACCAATATAATGAAACGAATGATATCATTATCTCTCAGATAACGGCTTAAATATAATATGGGCACAATATTCTCTTGTGTGTTACTCAGATACTTAGAGCATGGAATATGTCTTGCAGTATAGGGTGCCTCCGGAAACATGTCCCATGCACGAACTATGCCCTATCTGAATTTAATCACACACCCCATAAATCGTGGGATTTGGAAGTAGGAAAAAGAGAAATCAAATAAGGGAAAAAAGAGAAAAAAAAAGAAAAAGGAAGGAAAGAAAAAAAGTACTACACTACACTACCGTACTCAAACAATACGCGTCATGAATAGCCCCGCCCCCCTTTCTACACCGTTCTGCGTCAACGCCTCTCTCCGTCAACGCCTCTGCTGTCACCCCGTCTCCGTCAACGCCTCTTCCGTCAACTGCTCTCCGTCACCCCGTCTCCGTCAACGTTTCTCCGTCAACGCTTCTCCGTCAACGCTTCTCCGTCAACGCTTCTCCCGTCAACGCCTCTGCCGTCAACGCCTCTGCGTCACACCGGTCTACGTCACCCCGTCACCCCGGCACCCCGTCACCCCGTCTCTGACACCCCGTTCTGCGTCAACGCTTGTCTCGTCAACGCCGTCTCCGTCACAACGTCTCCGTCACGTTGTCTCCGTCAACGCCTTCTCCGTCAACGCTTCTCCGTCAACGCCTTCTCCGTCAACGCCTCTCCGTCAACGCTTCTCCCGTCAACGCCTCTGCCGTCAACGCCTCTGCGTCAACGCTTGTCCGTCAACGCCTCTCCGTTAAAGCTTCGTTTCGCGCTGCCGGAAGTCGTGATAAGTACACAAACTACTACTTATGTGCTTCCGCGGTCCTGCCGACCGTCTTCAACTTCTGTAGAAGAAGAAAAAAAAAAAAAAGTAGTACTACTACCGTACACACGCACCGCGTCATGAATACCCCCGCCCCGCTTTCTACACCGGTCTGCACTAAACGCCTTCACACACTGTCTCTGCGTACACCTAAAACCGCACTATAACAACATCAATTCGTCCTTCTTCGTCCTGCCGTCGTTGCCGCGGCCGAGTGTAACAAGGACCAGAGATTGTGTCTCCGACCAAACGCGCTTCGACGACGTAGCCGAGTAAGCATTGTGCCGAGTGTAAGAAGGAGGAGGATTGTCTCTCCCAGCAAACGTGGCCGGGTAAACCGATTGTCCGAGGAAGTAGCCGAGTGTAAGAAAGGAGGGAGAGATTGTCTCTCCGAGCAAACGCGTCGACCCACGCGGCCGATTGTAACAACGATTCGACGAAGTGGCCGAGCAAACGTGGCCGCGTAAACCGCATTGTAGCCGAGTGTAACAAGGAGCAGACATTGTCTCTCCGCGCAAACACGGCCGCGTAAACCGCATTGTCTCCGATCAAACGCGACCGAGTGTAAGAAGGATTCGACGAAGTATCCGAGTGTAAGGAAGATTCAACGAAGTAGCCGAGTAAGCATTGTGCCGAGTGTAAGGAGGAGGAGAGATTGTCTCCGAGTAAGGATCAATAGAGGGAGCAGAGAGAGGCGGGGGACGGGACGAAGGAACACACATATTGTGTGGGAGGGCGAACAAGAACCGGCAACAACGGCGGCAGAACAATTGATGTTGTAGTCGCTACTGCGGTTTTGAGGTGTACGCACACAGAGAGACAGTGTGAACAGGGTATTTGTTGTTAACTGGAGTATTTGTTGTTAAGGGGTGTATTCATGACACGTTTTGCGTGTGTAGGGTAGTGTAGTGTACTACTTTTTTTTTTGGTTTTCTTGTCGGCTTTTCTTCCTTGTTTTTTTTTTTCTTTCTTTTTCTTTCTTTTTCTTTGCCTTTTCTTCCCTGTATTCTGTATTTGCCAATGCTATGGACACTTTCTGTTTTTGTACATTCTTCCTTCTATCATTAGGTGCGTAATGGTTGCTCTTTTTATGGCAAATTTGATTCTTAAGCGCGGAGCAGTAAAGACAGACATAGGCAGTATTACGGACTGCATGTGGAATCAAGAGCAAATTAATGCAATATAACAACAATAAGAATACTACTAGTCTATACATATTTATAACGGGCACAGTATATTTCAGTGAATAGTAGTAACATGGCATCGGTAAATTTGGCGCATGCATTGGTGAAATGGGTACTCGCCGCGGGCATTTCCAAACAGGAGGACTATGAGGTACGAACATACAGGAATAGAAGAGCAAAACGGGGACCTCCGTGCTACGCCTTTATTGGTACACGAGAGCTTGAAGCTCAGCGGGGCACATAGATTTCAAGTACACATGCGCATGTATATATTTCATGTGTTTGTATTACATTGTAGGAAGCAGTGTGGAACAAGACCAAGGACGTAATGCACGAATTTGTGAACTACATGGACGGCGACGATATGATATCATATGCAGCGAACTGTGATAACACAGGATGGGAGCATCCCCACGGTTCGCCCGGTCACCGCTATGTAGGACACACGGTGGGGGATACAATTGTATGCGTACTTATGGTAGGGGCCTTATTTTTCATGAATGGGTGGTCTCTGCAAGAACGCGACAGGCACAAGGAAGACGACATAAATGAAACAATAAGGGAGCACTTGCTATGTGCAATAGTACATATGTTCAGCGAAGTATTAAACGAATCCGTGTGTCCAAGTCCGCGGGGCACATTTTATGCATGGTACTCAATGGGAAAAATGGGGGATGGGAGGGGAGGTTGGGGCGATGGTTTAATAAAGGAGGGAATATGTGGTAGAGCAGTAGTTGCGCATGGGAAAGTAGGGCACATTGAGTTGAATGCAGAAGTCAAGAAATGGTTACAAGGGAATAGCGCACTACAAAACCGGATTCAACAAGTGAAGGGAACTAACACGTGTCGGACACCATGGCAAAAGGAATGGAGAATAGAGAAATTCTTGAACAGTGAGAATATGGGAGATACGACAGGCTCGCAGATTTTTCAAATAGTGCACGACTTGAAGCAAGGCATGACCGACATATTTAGGGAAATCCGGGAAGAGGTAGACGAAAGCATAGAACAAAGGGAGCAGGCGAGGAAGAAGAACTTCGGTAAGGCATGGTAGCTTGGGGCAGACTGACACAGCTTCGAACGCAACAGGAATGATAAGTAAAGAGTCGACAACTACAAACAGTTTCGAAGTAACAGGGAAAGTGCAAATGCGAAACAACATGCAGATATGTGAACAACGTTCATTGCTGTGTCCTTGCAACAACACAAAAGCTAAATACGCACATTTCTAATTCCCATTTTTGCCATTTATTGCAGCGAACGATGGTAAAAGCGGGGAGCCCGCCACCAAGGCGGCGACCACACCATCACCACAGGAACCGAAACGTAAGGACCGATGGTAGAAAGCACCAACAGGCGGCCGCACACGAACACGAATACCGACCGTACTGCCGAATGTGGATGCCGACATCACAACACGCAACGGTGCCACAAACACGCACGCGCACGGTCACAACAGCGAACGACTTCGCTGACGTGGAGCCGGGCGCGGCGTCACTGTGGTGCGGCCACGAGTGTAGACGAGGTGTGCGCGGCGGAACCGCATGGCGCGGTGTCGAAGGCCGGAGACGGACGAGATAACGGCGACAACATAAGTGTACTACTACCATCCCACCTCACGTATGCGTAATGCCGCTACCGGACCGAACCACATCGTCCCCTTCTTTCTGTCTACCACTTGTGTCCTTTTTTTTTTTATCATCTTTTCTACCACCTTTCTTCCGTTCTCCTTTTTGCAGGCAAGCAACCGGCAGATGCAGGAGGAGGAGACCAGAACGGGGCGAAGCCGTCGTCACCGTCATCATCACCCGCAGGAGAATCAGGCACAGGGAGTACAGGGGGACCTCAACCGCAGCCACCATCCGGGGGCCCACCAGTAGGACGGGCAGATACAGCACCAGCGGATACATTACCACAACCCCCACCTGCGGCACCGGCCGGAGGGACACACGCAGGGCAAGGACCAGCGACCTCTACAGGAACGGGACCTGGACAACAACCCCCACCTCCACCTCCTCCACCAGGACCACCACCTTCACCTCCTACACCCACAAAAGAGGGAACGGATGCACAGTCACCACCGTCAAAAGCAGATTCATCTCCGGAAGGAACCTCACAGGGCAAAGGTAAGATATTACGGGACTCCAAGAAAAAGCCTGAGGAGAACAAAGCGAAATGCAGTGAGGATGAGACTGACCATGCCAAGCTTTTTGATTGTCTTCAGAGGCAGGAGGACCTTGCAAACGCCGGGACAGGAGTGAACCAACCGGACGGCTCCGAAAAATACGACGGACACGGCCCTGTGGGTCTCCCTGATAGCTCCCGTACGATCACAATATCCGAAGGGACGTCTCCTGAAGTTTCAACAGTACCCCCAGGTACGAATAATGAACATTCAGGAGAGGGCGACATCAGAAAAAAAAAAAAATGAAACACACAATTTCCGCAGAGAGAGCCAGAGACACCACGGAGATAACACTGAGAGCGAGAACAACCAAACGTCGAATGAGAATGAGCGGACCAGCGCTCGGCAGAGCAACGGGTCGGCCGCGGGATGTAGACGTCGACAGGTAGACGTCCACAGACGTCGACACACACAACCTGTGTCTGTGTGTTGTGAGTGTTGTGTGTTGTGTGTTGTGTGTGGGACACAGAGAGAGTCTTTTCCCCGGGGTGCCACCTGCCAACCACCGTTCGCACTGCGACACCAATGGTGCCGACCGTGTGGACAACCAAACAACCATAACCATGCATCCACTTCAAAACTTCAGTTTCATCACATCCTTCTTCCTTCCCTTTCCCTGTCTCCCCATTCACAACATGTTCAGGCAATGCCGTCATCGATGGCGGCAACGATGACCCCCCTCCGCCCAATCCACGTGCCTCCTGCAGTCCCGATGATTTCGACCTCTCCAGTGGCTTCGGAGGGGGTACCCCCCAGCATTGCACGAAAGGTGCCAATAGTACGACGTCCTCAAGTAGCACTTGCTCATGTAGTGGTTCTAAACGTAAGGAGGCTGTTGCAGGGGGTGGTAGTACTGCAGGAGGCCCCATTTCCATTACTGGGGGCACACAGAATGGTCCTACGTCGGGTTCCACGCAACCTGCACCCTTCCCTTTTGACCCAGTAAATATATTTACACAGGACATAGAAAATGTAGCAGGAGGATTCGCACCACCAACCACAACACATGGATCATCGGGCTCATCCAACATGGACCATGGTGGGCCGGGTGGCCCCATCCCTCCTGACCTAACCAACGACGTCCTCATCGCCACTACTCCCATCCTGTTTTTTCTCGCTTCGGTCACCGTCGCCCTTCTTGGTTATTCCCTTTGGAAAGTAAGCACATACAACAATCAAGGAATGCCGCATGTGCAGGATGTTTATACCTCAGAACATCCCGCCGGGCTGCAATATATGATCGTTCTAACCAATATACTCCTGCACCCGCATTCATTCCTTTTATCCTACCGTCCTCACCCTCCTCTTTACCCCCCTTTTTCTGCTTAGTACTTTGCGTATCTCGGAAAAAACCGACGACGAACATATCGCACCGTGCGTGACGTGCCGTCACCGCCACTCGACGAAGAAATATTGCAGCATCTACAACGCGGCGAACTACCGCCACCCGCTTACTGGTACACCATGGTTCGGGATAGGCAGCCCGGCAGATTGCCCGGCGCACGACGCCGACGCCCACCACGCGTGCATACGCGCACGATTATCGAGCTACATCTAGAAGTGCTCAACGAATGTGAAGCGACCGAATGGAAAAGCGTCAAAGACGACTATTGGCAGATTGTCGTGGAGGCGTTTGCACATGACTTGGAGCCGGCTGCAACCGGGCACAGTAGTTTCCCGGATGCTCCTACCCCAAACCAGGGTTTACCACGGCACACTGTTTCCTCCGCCTTGCATCCACCCACTGACATCGACGGCATAGATCCATGTCTACCGAATGAAGATAACCCATGGAAGTGTATGGAAAACATACAGTTCGAAACGGACCCTTGTCCACCGAATGAACACGACCCCGATCCATGGAGTTGTATGGAAACTATACAGTTAGCAACGGACCGTTCTCCACCTAACGCAGATGATCCATGGAGTTGTATGGAAACTATACAGTTAGACGATGAACAAAATCGCCCTTCCGACCACGGTCACCACACGGCGGCGCGCACCCACTGGATTAACTGGATTGAGCGCCACAAGCATCTATTTCGGGAGTGCACGACGCAGCCGTGGTTTTTGCAATTGAAATCGAACTGGACACAACATGTGCGTGAACACATGGTGGCAAACGCGGACAACGTAGTATACGGGCACAGTGAACTCGGTGAAGCGGCAACCATGGAAAGCACGAAACTGTGGTTATGGAAAGAATGGGTCGCACAGCAACATGACCTTATCAATACATATGGTGAGCAGGAGTGGTTCCAACATTTGTTGAATAATGTACAGCAGCAGACAGCATCGCACAAAGGCGAAGTACCTGGAGTCGAAGAAGACTTCGAAGTGGAAAATGTAATGGGAACAGAAGATATGCTAAGAGTGAGAGATGTACCCCGCTCGCAACCACTCCATGAGCAATACTACAACAAGAAACAAGTAATAGCCAAATTATGGATGCTCCTGCTCGCGTCGGTAATCGAAGAATGCGAGCTTGAAAGCCGTCTGCAACAGAAGGAGTTATATGTGGATGCCCTATTGCAGCAACTGTGACATTAGGATGACGGCGCATATGACTGGAAATAGAGACACATGATCATAATACTTCATTTTTCTTCACTGAGAGATATGCATTATGTATTACTATGCTCACATTATTCTATACCGTCTTTTTTTGTTCTGCTCGCTTCTGCTTACTTCTGCTTACTTCTGTTTACTTTTGCCTTGTTCTGTTCTTTTTCTGTGTACTCAACTTCTTTTATTATGACTATACAGATACGGTTGTAGAGGTTACATGCATATAAAATGTGCATTTAAATGAATACTATGACGGGGTAGTATTCTCCTTTATGTGAAGTTAATTATTACAAGCTGAGAACGTGCATGCTACGGGTATAGTGCAGAACACACATAGCATGCGACTACGCCTTCGCGTATAAGGAGAGATTGTCTCTCCGAGCAAACGCGTCGACCAAAGCGGCCACGTGCAACACCGATTCGACCAAGTAGCCGAGTGTAAGAAGGAGCAGCATTGTGTCTCCGAGCACACGCGTCGACCAACGCGGCTCGAGTGTAACCACGATTCGACGAAGTGGCCGAGTGTAAGACAGGAGGAGGATTGTCTCTCCGAGCAAACGTGGCCGGGTACAGCATTGTCGTGGAGTGTAAGAAAGGAGGAGAGATTGTCTCTCCGAGCACACGTGGCCGCGTAAACACGACTGTCCGAGTGACGCAGTTCGACGAAGTAGCCGAGTGTAAGAACGGAGGGAGAGATTGTCTCT